GAGTGGCGCAATTTGGTCCTGGCCCAAGTTATGCAGCTGTTCAACGGGAAAACAGCAAAAGGCTTCAGTCCAAAGCAGGCAAATAAGGCACGATTGTCTATAAACAGTCACTGGGGCCCTCACATTTAGAACAAAGAAAACAACATTAGCATACAGGACGGCAGGTTGGGAACATGAGAATCAGCACAAGTTGAATGAGCCACGCTATCATTTGTGATTTAAACAAAAGATAGTAACCATGAATAACTCACCCTTGAGGAAATCATAAATTGGTCAAACATTTTGAAAGGAATCATAAACATTTGGTCATGGATTAAAAATATTATTTAAGTCAGCTATGAGATGTAAAGCATCATATATCCATTATCTATTTCTGATTCCCACCTGCTCATTATAGGTGGATCAAGTAAGTGGAAAGATAATAGAAATCAAGTGTTTTGGTAGCCAATCAGAAGCTGAACCACAGTGTTGCTTCTCAGTGTTTCCACGATAACAAAATGGGGAGTCAGGTGTAATAGTTCCAAGGTAATGGAGTGGAAATTTGGCAGTAAAATAGGAAACTGGAACCTGGCCTTTAGGTATTGTGATATCACATCTTTCATTTTTACTCCCACACTTTTTAGGCTTTTTTGACCATATCTTGAAATATGAACAGTCTTTATATTATTATTTATTTTATAACTTCTGTTTGATATAAATTTATTTCCTTATTTCTCTTCCATTTTTTTATTCACTTTCTAAAATGGGTGATCCTCCCATTATCTTTGCTTCACCACCACCTACTATTTCCCTGATTAATCCATTTCAATTTGCCTTCTGTTTTCTCTGTTCTAGTGAGACTATTTTCTTTATGATCACTAAGATTTCCTTCTGGGAAAATCCAATGGTTTCTTTTCAATCTCCCCTTGTTTTTTGTCCTATCTGCCTCATCTGGCACTGTTGGAGATACAATATAAACTAAAGAGAGGGTAGAAATTAGACTGTCTTTAAAGGAATTAATGCCTACATTTATTGGAAGTGATAGTTACTTTGAAACTCAGAAGAGTGAATTTTAAGAATATTAGGAAGGACATAGTAAACCAATTATCTAAAGGCAGCAAGGAATGTTGGCAATACATTTAATATCAATGGCTTGGCAGATTACAAGGGAAGCAAAGGGTAAAAATGAAGTTGGGAATGAGAATACTATATAAGAAAAGAACTTTATACACATTTACTTCTGTAACACAGCATATAGAACACAACATTGGGACCTATGAGGATAAAGACAAAACAGAATGACAATTTTAGCTCGTGTGGAGTGGAGCTTATGAGTTAATTGCCAGGCGATACTATACTAGAGTTGGTTTTTATTTTTTATATATGGCTGTAAGCTCATACTAGAAACAATCAGGTTGGTAGGAATTTGGCAAATTTTGAAAAAAGGGGATAAATACAGAAGAAAGTCTGATAAAAGAGGATGGCAAGAGTAAATGTGTCTTGAGACTGGCTACTTCTTCACCTTCAAGCTTCTGTGGGTTGAATGCAGTGCTGAACATTATTGTACATCCTCGTTTTCAAAAGTTACTTTGGATAACATAACTGACAATTTAGACTCAGCAATGGAAGTAGCAGAAAATAACTGAAAGAATATGAACTTTGGACAATGATTGAACTAGGTTTAAATCCTAACTCATCCATTTTAAATTTGGATGAATCAGGAAAATTTGGTTTACATTTGGTGAGATTTGATTTTCTCCTATGTAAAATAAGGAGAGTTTCTTATTTATTTCACCTATTTGTGAAGTAATATTAATCAGGATCTTTCTGAGTAAGAAAACATTTTCTATTTTCTAAACTTCTGGGGTCTTTGTATTCTTTACATAAATACATAAATGAAAGATGATTATACTTTTCATTCATTTGCAGTGCAGAAGAGGGTTACACAGACAACCTTATTTCCAGGTTGCTGAAAGAGACCCTCAATATGTGCATCCATCCAACCACAGCTCAGCTAATGGAAATGAACTACTTAACATATCTAATTACATTGACCTCACAATCTCATTATTCACATGAAATGCTGTTTCTACTGTGCAGATTGAATATTGAGTCAAAGAGTAGATCATTGACAGGTAATTGGATGCTGTTTGAGCAGGGATGTATTTATTTCCAAGCGTTCTGAATACTATATTTCCCATCCTTACCTCATTTAATTGCATAAATTGTATATTTTCTCCAAGTGTACATACATGTACTTGGGGGCAGAACTATAGAGAGAAGTTAAAATCATAAATCCTTTGCTATACCCGGATCTTGATCATGTTCCTTCATATCTCAATATGCTGACCTCTGAGGTTGTAAGGGAGAATGGAAACAAACAAACAAAACAGAAGCATAAAAAAAGAGAGGGAAGGGGAACAGACAGAGTCAGAAAATAATACATGGAAGGAACAGGAGTGAAGATGGGAGGGAGAGTGGGGAAGTTTCTGGTGTTACTTATACAGGTTCAGCAGTAAATAGATTAGGATTTAAATATGTGTAAAGCTGACTAGGGTCTACTATACTTCTTTCCCTATTTAAAGTACTCAACTTGCAGCCAAAAGCTTTTGTTGAAACTTTAATACTAGAATGCACTGCCACATTTGATAGCATACTGTAGAAGAAAAATGTTTTATATAAGCAATTTAATCTTATCAGAAGGTAAGAACTACTAAAGTGAATTGTGCAGGGTATATCCAGTAAAGCTACTAAGAAAAATGTGGTTTTTTTAAGATATAAAACACTTTAAATGTTTCTTATAATATAAAATAAATTGATATACTAATTCACAATATGTTCTTTAAATCTGCATGTTTACATCTCTAGGAAATAATTACTGAATGAAAGCAGTTTTAAAATACCAAAACTGTAATAAAGTCAGAATGGCTATCATCAACAAATCAACAAACAACATATGTTGGTGAGGATGTGGAGAAAACGGAACTCTAATACAGTGCTGGTGGGAATGCAGACTGGTGTAGCCACTGTGGAAAACAGTATGGAGTTTCCTCAAAATATTAAAAATAGAACTACCATTTGACCCAGTGATACCACTTCTAGGAATATATCCTAAGAAACCTGAAACACCCCTATGTTCATAGCAGCACAATTTATGATAGTTAAGATTTAGAAATAGCCCAAATACCTATCAGCAGATGAGTGGATAAAAAAGCTGTGGTACATTTACACAATGGAATATTATATAGTGGTAAAAAAAAAGAAGGAACTCTTACCACTTGCAACAGCATGGATGGACCTAGAGAGCATTATGCTAAGTGAAATAAGCCAGATAACTATCACATGATCTCACTCATATGTGGAATCTAATCAACAAAATAAACTGATGCATAAAATAGACCCAGAGATATAGAACCATGGAAAAGACAGATGAATATCAGAGGGAAGGTGGGGGTGGGTAGTGGGTGGAAATCAGGAAACTTATATGCATACTAGAGGCCCTGTGCACGAAAATGCATGCACTGGGAGGGGGGTCCCTCAGCCCGGCCTGTGCCCTCTTGCAGTCCAGGAGCCCTTGGGGGATGTCCACCTGCTCCCCGAGGTACTGGGCTTAAGCTGGCAGTCAGACATCCCTCTGGCAGCCCAAGAGCCCATTAGTTGAACATCCTTAGCACTGCACTGGCCAGCCATGAGCTGGCTTCTGGCTGAGTGGTGCTCCCCCTGTGGAAGTAAATTGACCACCAGGGGGCAGCTCTGGCATTGAGCATCTGCCCCCTGTTGGTCAGTGCATGTCATAGAGACCGGTCATTCCAGGTCTTTTTGCCATTAGGGTCAATTTGCATATTACCCTTTTATTTTATAGGATATGCATATTTCATGGACACAGACAATATTGTGGTGAAGGTCTTGGAGGGGCAGGTGCCTGGTGGAGGGGGTCAATAGAAAAAAAAAGGAAGGGGACATCTGTAATACTATCAACAATAAATATTAAAGTAAGAAAGTATGAATATGCTTAATGTGTTAAAAAGTACAATATCATACAATTGAGGATGTTCACATTTCAAATTTCTGCCTTAAAACTCTTTTAGGAAAATTTCTCATGGATACTATGTAATTTACACTTAAATAACAAATATTCTTAGAAAAACAATTGTAATTATTTTACTTTGCACAAAAGGTTTCCCATATAGTTATATACAGAAAATAATTAAATCCCTCTTCTTAATATTTAAACCAAAATATAACTCAATTGAAAGTTTTAAAAAATCAAATAAATTACTTATCTCTGCACCTAGAGTGTTGCTATATTAAAATGATCAAATGGCTTTCAAATCATCTTTGAATAATCCTTATTTGGATAATCTATACTGATTTGATTTTTGTAGAAATAGTAGACTTTCAGAGTTTTCTGTTTAAGAACATGAATGTTAAAAAGTATAATTTTATAGTTGAAAGGATGTTAGGACTCATATTATAATAATGAAATAGTTTACAATTGAAAATGTTGAGTTTATGACCCCTTTCATTCACCTTCCCTCTAAGTATTATCACATTCACTAATCATGTGTTGTGGAGCTGCTACATAAGAAATGTAGAGTTGATTTCTCTTATTAAGGAAATGCTTCCCCATCTAACTTTAAAACTTGGGCATATTTTGACGATGCTTCAATATTTTCCAAATTTTTTATGGGAGAACTAAGCTCAGCAATGTGCAACTGTTATCAATCTGATGATATGAACACTGACTGATTAAGCCTACACTTCTTTCAGGTTGAAATATCTTCCTGGGGGGAAAAATCACAGCTGGAAACCTTCCCAGAAACTTCACCAGATGACAAAGAAACAGACTAATCTTCCACAGACACTTAATGAAGACGTGGTTGTGGGGAGGGGGTTCTGGTCTAGAGGTCACTTTGCCCACCAAGAAAAGACAAAAGCAGCGGATTTCTGTAGTTAAAGTCTGCAATCAAAGCAGAATAGAAGCAAAAGTGAAAAACGCCATTGCTCATTAAATCACTTACAGTGGTTTTCCTTTGGATTCACAAGTCAAAATTAAAGGCTGTCCTTCTTGTGGAAAAGGAGTGGATGGTATAATCTTAACTGATGGTGTATCTAGAAAAAAAATGAAAAGGTCATTAAGTATGTAAACTATACATTTAGAAATTGTACATCATGCTGCATGTTCATGCACTTTCTTATAATGGTGTCTTTTTAAAAGGGATTTCTTAGATTTGGTGAAACACAGTATGTCATTTTAAGAAGCCACTATCCTGTCCATGAAAAGCTAACAAAAATATCTGAATATCCCATGAACACCACTGCTGTAATATTTCTGAAATCTGAATTTAAAAGTGAAATTGCAAAAACTGGTTCAGATGAATATCAAGCATTTCATCCAATTGTTTCTTCAACTATTTATAGATGGGTAGGAATACCATTATTATGGACTGAACACATTTATGTGCATTTGAATAACAACCCATTCATTGTTGCAGGAATACCAGAAACATAATAAAGAAGTCAAAAAGAACTCAAGATCAACTACTGTCTCACAGCATTATGCAGAATATTTTTGAAAATGCAGTAATCTGGTACTCAGCACAAGTCTCTTGCTCTAAAGTACAGTTAGCAAGTCATTTGACATAGTTACTAGGAATAATACTAAAAGTTAACTTTTTATTGTGTATGTTAAAATATAATTGTTATAAAATTACTTATTTCCATTAGGCAATAAAGTCATCCCTAGTAAAAAAAATATTAAAGAATACTTTAAGACATTTATAGTTATAACTTTATGTCCTGTAATACTTTTTAATAAACACAAAGATGGAAGACATGGAAAATAGGCTAAGGGAAGGAGACAATGTAAACACTTTCATTTTTTTCTGAGAGGTTGCTAAATCCTTGCATTGTGTGTCCCACAGTCAACATGGAATTGCCTCCTCCTCTTGTCTCCACAATAAACAATATAGGCTCTGAGCATTCCTGATAGTCAAAAATTATTCTCATCATTGCCTTAGTTGTGATGGAAGAACAGAACTACCTTGGAGTTATACACATTCTATGACTTAGAAGCTAATTAAATAAGTATCAATCAAGTGTGTAAATTTTAGATTAAAATCTTATTTCAGGAAAATAATCAGATTTGTCACATATAGATAAATAAAGCATGATCTGTAAAAGACCTTACACTTATAAATTATTTGTACTTTTTAAACTTATTCTTTCTCAGTCATTTAAACAAGAAAATACATTTAAGGTAATCAATGATAATATCCAGGTTACAAACAGGCATTCCATATATAACATGGTAAGTAATTGCAGTGTAAAACTACCCAGGAAGAAAAATAATTTGAAGACTATGACACATACTTATTATAATTTTAACTAGAGGCCCTGTGCATGAAAATGTGTGCACTGGGAGGGGGGGGTCCCTCAGCCCAGCCTGCACCCTCTTCCAGTCTGGGAGCCCTCGGGGGATGTCCGACTGATGGCTTAGGCTGGCTCCTCATGGGGAGCCGGCCTAAGCTGTCAGTCAGAAATCAGCGCTGCCACAGAGGCAGGAGAGACTCCTGCCACGGCCTCAGTGCTCCCCAGCAGTGAGCCTGGCTCGGGGCTTCTGGCTAAGCTGCGCTCCCCCTGTGTGAGCACACTTGCCACCATGGGGCAGCTGTTGTATTGAGCGTCCACCCCCTGGTGGTCAGTGTGCATCATAGTGACAGGTTGTCCAGCAGTTTGGTCAATTTGCATATTAGCCTTTTATTAAATAGGATTAGTAGAATAAAATAATAAAAAATTAAATATAATTCACTAATTTTTCAATTATTATCATAGTTTCTGACTCAAATGATCATATACTATTATTCAAAGTAGAACATTTTTAAAAGGGAAGGGAACATATTAATAACTAAGCAAGGTAAGAGCTGTGAGCCAGAATAATTCTGGACAAAATGAGGTGTATGGTCTTTTGAAATTTGACTATGTATACATACAGCAAAATTTTATTTCCTTTTGACAATGTAAAATTAAAAAGCTTTATCTCTAGAAATAAAGGTGGCAGAAGAAAGATTAGAAAAATTATTTTGGAAGATAAAATTGTGTTAATTGGGGTGACTATGATGGTTAATTTTATGTGTCAACTTGACTGCATCATGGGATGTCCAGATATCTATCCACACATTTTTAAAATATATTTTATTAATTTTTTTACAGAGAGGAAAGGAGAGGGATAGAGAGTTAGAAACATCGATGAGAGAGAAACATCAATCAGCTGCCTCCTGCACACCTCCTACTGGGGATGTGCCTGCAACCAAGGTACATGCCCTTGACTGGAATCTATCAGTCAGCAGGCCGACGCTCTATCCACTGAGCCAAACTGGTTAGGGCTGTCCACACATTTTTATAAGTATTTCTGTACGAGTGCTTTTGGAAGAGATCAATATTTATTTTTTTTATTTTTAATTCAGTTTACTTTCAATATTATTTCGTATTGGTTTAAAGTGTTAGACAATAGTGGTTAGACAATCATATATTTACAAGGTGTTCCCCCGATATTGCCAGTGCCTACCTACCACCATACATTGTTATCACAATATAATTGACTATATTACCAATGCTGTATCTTACATTCTTGTGACTATTTTCTAACAACCAACTTGTACTTCTTAATCTGGAGGAGATTAATATTCAAATTGCAGACTTAATAAAGCTGATTGCAGCTGGGTCTTATCTAATCAGTTTAATGTTTGAATAGAATTAAAAAAAGCTGACTCTCCCCCAAGTAGGAATAATTCCTCCAGTCTGATGGCTGTATGTTAAAGCACTGGCTTTTGGGGCCTTTAGACTTAACCTGAAACGTCTTGGGTCTGGAGCCTGCTGGCCTTCAGACTGAAATGACATCAATTCTGGTTCTCAAGTTTTTGAACTCAGAATGAAACTAAATAATTTGTTGTTTTTTTTGGTCTCTTGCTTGCAGACTCGGCCTGAAGATCTGGAGACTTGCCAGCCCATGTAATTATATGAGCCAATTCCTTGTGTGTGTGTGTGTGTGTGTGTGTATTTATCTGGTTAGTTCTGTTTCTCTGGAGAACCCTAGCTAAAAGAGAAAGGACATAAAAAAAGTGTGTTATTGAGCAGATTACACCAGGGGCAACTGGGGTTCAGTCCTGCTGTGGAACTCCGAGAAACAATGTAGGGCATGCATCACACTTTTTTCCTAGATGAGCAGGGCATGAGAGTATTTAGGGAATATTTGCCAATTCTCATTAGTACTCAGTGGAGGATTGCCCTGGAGGGAGGAGGGCGTGTTATCTCCCTGTTATTCCTGGTGGACTTGGTGCAAAGAAATGGTGTGTGTCAAAGGGATATGGGCAAGTGTCTGTTTCAGTAAAGTAAAATATACAGTGGCAGGTAGCTATTAGAATAGAGGAAAACAGAACATCGTCTGATTTCTCTTAGCTCTGTCCTTTTTAATTTAAATAGTTATTATCAGAGATGAGAACATGTATAACAAATAGTACCCTGAAGTATGGTTCAGCATTCTCTTTAGATTCAAAATACAAAATTCAGTTAATAAGTAAATTCCAAAGCAGATAATATGCTTAACATGTAGTTCCATGAAATGTTTATGAAGACCACCAGATAACCCCTAAGTTATCAAAGTCAAGGGATATAATACAGTACTCTTTTATGTCACATCAGAATGTTGGTATGAATAAAATGTTGATTAGACAAATGTTGATTAGACTCTATTACTAAAAATTATCTTTAGATTTCTCTAAGAATGTTCCTCCACCCTACCCATCCCCACCATTTCTTATTCAACTCTAACATTTCTAGTTATTCTTTCTCAGATTCTGTTCAGTTGTTTTCTTATATTTACCTTTAGATATTGAGATCATTGAGAATGGTATTAACAATCTATTGTCACATAATTCTCTCTCAGTCCTTTCAGCCACACCCAACTTATTAGTTTCTATCTATTCACCAATCACTCCCAAGTTTATATCTCAGAGCAGTTCTGTACTACATGCTACACTTTTGTGTATGGAGCACCTATTTGACATGTCCACTTGAATATCTGAAAGACACAGCGCATTTGATATGTCCAAAATGAATTCAAAGTCTGCAACCCTCCCCATATAGTCCTGTTCCAGGAATCTCTATTCCAAAGACACCACCAGCCTCTATTCAGTTATATACACCAGATACCTCTTGTTTCCTTATCTTTTCTAAACCAGTCAACTAATCACATCTGGTTGATATACCTCCTAAATAATTTTTAAATATCATTTCTTTTTTGATTGCTTCACAACCACTTCTTTTATCTACTTTACCATACTAGTGAATGGTCTCCCTTATACCAATTTTTCACCCCTCATACTTCTAGAACTAAATAAACTTGTCTCCTCAAAACATGACTCTGATTACATAAATTTTCTGGTTAAAATCTTGTGTGGTTAATCTTTGATTTTAGGATTCCAAGCAAAATAATTAGTATAGCCTTGCTAAGGACAACTATTCATTACCCCAAAATTGGGTCAGATACCTCTGCTACATGTTAGCTTTTTCATCTTGTGTAATTTTCAAAGTTGCTGCTGTATCCTCAGTGTCTGCAGAGTGCTTTATACAAAATCTGTGATTAGTAAATAAATTCTTAAATAAATGAACACACAAATTTGTATACATCTTATCAGTATGGTACATTAATTTTGAAATATTAGAAAAATTAATTGAAATTTATTGGCATCTGATGTATGTAAAATTACTCTTAAGTATTCCTAACACAAACCTTAGGTTGACTTTTACTCTAATCTCATATTTAATTTAATTAAATGGCTATTACTGACTCTCTTCCTAGTGCAATTTTTTTTGCATTAGATAACATTAGTTAACAACTTTCCATGATTATTAAATGAATTTTTTCAATTCAAATACAGCATACTAATTTTTTCTTCTCATCTTTTATAGGGAAAGAACTCAATTTTAACATGGCTGCTTTATCTACCACTTTTTGAGCATTCAAGATTCAAGATCTTAACATTTTCAGTTGTGTGTCTCCAGATCTGAACAAAATGTCTGATAGGTTGTAAGTTTAGCACAAGCACATAAAA